CTCTTGAAGCCAGATTTATTCCCAAACGTTTGCCATTATAAAAAGTTTTATGTTACATTAAACTAATAAATAACTAAAATAGCCTATGTTACAGATAAATTACCTTTCTAATGGTGACTTTCTTTTTTATTGGCCCAGTACTTTTTGCGAGAAACAAATACATATAAAAATACAATCTTTCCTCTTTATCAGTAAGGATAATTAAATATTGATGGTATGTAGTTACATAAAATCTGTATTATGACAAAATACATAAAATTATTATTTTAAATTAGTGGTCCTCCCAAGTCCTGAAACCAGCCTGGGGGGCGGAGGATAATGCTGTTGTACCTTTTTTATATATGTTAAGTTAGCGCTTGACCACGATCCCACCTATACTTTGAATCCGATCCACTAACGGATTAATGGCGTTGTACCGATAAAAAAATCGAATGGATCGTGCTTCATTATATCAATCCGCCAAAGTATCTGATCGTGCATCTTCGGGGAAGAGAACGAATCCATTGACATCTCGCTCACTAAAATTGGTTGTCGTTTGGGGATTTATAGGCCGTCAGAATTAATGGAATTTACATATATACAAATCAAAAACTTACATACAGGCTTTAAATATTACACTATAAGTCGAGTAATAAAAACAGAGCGAAGCTACCATGCTCCAATGACTTTGAACCACTGAACCATAGCAAACTTCAGTAATTACAAAACATACTCTGTTTAACTGTTTCATTTAACATTAACAACCGCAACCTACTTTTCCTATATTATTCAAAAATAATTCAATCTTAGCAACGAAATGTGTAGGTAAGTCACTGCCCAGAACACAAAGTTTAAAGAGGGTTAAACGCTGGGAAGCGCGCGGATGACCTCGGGCAGAAAATTTATTTTTAAGCAAATACAAAAATGGGTGGGGTTATGAAATAAAACACGCGATTATATTGAATATTCCCTTGAATATATATATTATAACAATACATAGTAAATCAATCAGTTACATTGGCGACCAAGTTTTCAATACATGGTAGACAAATGTCCAATGTAAAACTGATGAAGAAAAAGAAAGATAATTGCAAGAACAAAAGCCAACTCCCTTTACTGAGAAATAAAAAAGTTTAAGAAACTAAACTTAAATCCAACTTCTTGGTCAATATTGAAAGTCAAAGTACCCAGTAGCATAACACTTTCAAGTATAGAAATGTTGATAGTTGCGTTGTTTTTGTTTGCAGCAATGCACTTCCAATAATGCTAATAATAGTTATATATGTTGGAAATGTGCATCCCACCTTTTCTTTTATTTTTCAATTTTTATTTTTAATTTTTTTTTATTACCGGGACTAAATTAAAATGATAGATGTTCGAAGCATTAAAATAATAGAAAACGGCAGAAATAAACCTTGCAGCTTATAAGTTAATATTCAAAGCTACCTAATCTTTTTTGGTAGCCTGCTGTTTAGCTTGGTGAGCTTGCAAAACAGCAACAGCCTCGTCAACCTTAGCCTTCAAGGATTCTCCATGCTCCAACATGTGGAGCAGTTCAGAATTGTCAATCTCCAAAAGCATTCCAGTAATCTTTCCTGCCAAATCAGGGTGCATCCTTTGAATTAGTGGGAACAGCCTTTCACCCAACATTTGCTTTTGTTCCTGGAGTGGTGCTGCAGCTAACATTGTTGTGGTTAATGGTTCTTGACCTTGAATATGCACAGCAGGTTGTGGAGCTGGTGGGTTACGCATGTTAGAAGTGTACTTATAACCTGCTGGACGCCCCGACTGAGGGACAATAGGTGCACGGATAGATGCAGCAGTAGCCACACCTTGTTGTCCTGTAATAGGTCTAGCTCCCATCGATGAACGTAATGCTGCTTGGGCGGGCCCACGTGGTGCAGGGCGGAAGGGAGGCTGCATGTTGGGATAGGCAGAAGCTGCAGACTGGGCGTTGGGTCTTACGGCCGGCTGAGCGGTCCAGCGAGGGGATGGTCTTATTTGAGTCATTTGAGCTGGACCATAGAAACGTTGGGCAGGAGGTATGGTTGGTACGAAGTATCCTCCGGTACCACCTGGTTGGAATATCTGACCCATCTGTTGCATGCGCATGCTGGCCATACGTTGCATGTACTGCGATGTCAAATGAGCCTTACGATCTTCTTTGCGTTGAGCTAATGCTACATATAAAGGCTTAGTTCCGACAATACGCCCATTCATTTCTGTAACAGCTTTAGTGGCTTCTTCGGGAGATGAAAAACATACAAACCCAAATCCTTTACTGCGGCCATCTTCCAACATTACCTGAACAAGAAATTATTTATTTTACAAAATTATAGTATCATTCCATTTATAATGAACCTTTTAATATAAATTTTTTTCTAATTAAAAAAATATTTTGCATAAACATATACTAAACTTTTAATAAATCACTTGGTATCATAAGTCAAACACGACAATTATAAATGTACAAATAAAATGCATAAATACCTTGGCAGAAGTTATAGTGCCAAATGGAGCAAACTCTTTACGTAGGCGTTCATCATCAATTGTGTCATCTAAGTTCTTTACATATAAGTTAACACCTTGGTAGCGAGTCAAACGTTCAGATTTTAATTGTTCAAATTTACGTTTTAATTCTTTTTGTCGCTCAGCTTTCTTCTGAGCACGTCCAACATACAATGGCTTTCCTTCCACAAGTTCTTTGCCATTCAGTTCCATACAAGCTCTTTCAGCAGCATCAGGGTCTTCAAAGGCAACAAAGCCAAAGCCTCTAGAGCTTCCATCTTCCTTATACATCACCTTATGGCTGGTGATGCGGCCATATTTTTCAAACATCTCTCTAAGCATTTCGTCAGAAAAATCTTCACCGAAGTTCTTGACATAAACATTGGTGAACAGCTTAGCCTTTTCACCAAGTTCCTTTTCGCGCTCTTTGCGAGGAATGAATCTGCCCACATAAACTTTCTTGCCATTCAAAAGCATTCCATTTACTTTTTCAATAGACTTATTAGCAGCTTCCTCAGTTTCAAAATGAACAAATCCATAACCCTTAGAGGCACCAGTTTCATCTTGAGCAACCTTACAACTTAAAATGTTGCCAAAGGCCGAAAAAGTGTCATACATGGCCTTATTATCAATAGTCTTGTCAAGATTTTTAATGAACACATTGCCAACACCTGACTTGCGGAGCGATGGGTCACGTTGCGACCACATAATTCTAATGGGTCTTCCTTTTATAATGTCAAAATTCATGCCTTCCAAAGCTCTCTCAGCTGCAAATATAATAAAAAGCTTAATATTTACAAAAAACATGTTATAAGGTTTCATAAAATAAACACAGCGTTAAGACTAGTTTTGGCGGAAATCATATTTAAAAAACTATAGAATTTCAATATTTTTTTTATAATTTATGACAAAACCTGCAATAGACATTTCTATGTTAATGTTAACATACAGGTTAAAACATTGCATGAAGAATAGTTTTAGTTTAGGACAATATATTTCAACATTTGCTAGTAAAGTTTTTATACAATTTTAATTGGAAATCAATAAAGGGGATACAGATAAATGTAGTGAAGTATTGAGTAAGAGTATGTACTCTCGCTTGTCTCTTGACTCAAATATGCATTGTTTAATTATTTTATTTATTTTATTGGAAATTCATTGCAACCCAACTTTGTATTTGAGTATAGCAATGACATTCAATTATTTGAGAATAAAAAAAAAAACATTTATTGATAATTTCAAGCTAATACAATATGAAATGCCTATTTTAAAATATTTTTGGAATGTTACTTCATAAATATGTAAAGAAATATTTAACTTTGTATGACAATTATTAAAACGTTATTGTAAGAATATGTTACACTGCATGATCAAGATTACATTACAATTAGATTATAGATAAGAGCATAAGCATACGTTACAAGCGTTCTATTACTTACAAAATGTGACAAGTAAAATTATATTTAACACGTAATCTTACACAATATGGAATATGGAATAAAAAACTTACCATCGGCAGGCTGCTGAAAATTTACGTAAGCGTAGCCTAAAGATCTACGAGTTATCATATCGCGACAAACTCGAATTGATAGAACCGGACCAGCGGTTGAAAATTTCTCAAACAACATGGCCTCAGTAATATCGGAGTGTAAATCTCCGACATACAACGACGCCATTGGGTAATTAGGTGGCCCAGGATTCATTTTGGAATTTTCACTGTGATCGTTTTATATTGAACATTAATTAACAGTATGCAAAAAACAAGTTCACTTTCTCTTTATGATTACCTATCGCATTCCTTAGACCACGTTGCACGCTTACGTACACTAACTTATAAGCGAGGATTTCCCGTTTATTATTTAATATTTTACTATTTTTTTGGGTTTTTATAAATTTTGTGCTTTTTTTTTTTATTTTAGAAGAATATTTCACGAAATTATGAGGATTGTGTGACCTATTTCTGAGGGACCACACAACCTCACGTGAACACACCTTGCTCACCAAAGGAAAGGTGACGTTTGTGATTTGTGACTTGTGAAGACAAAAGCGAAATGGCCGACGTTTTAAAACCATAGACATTTAAAAAATCTCACAAAACTGGAAAATAAATGCTTGGCACAAAATAACTCTTTTTGTCCTTTACTGAGAAATGAATACAATTCTTATGATCGTTGTTAACTTCTCTGCCCTAAACTTTTTCAGTAAATGGCACATGGATTGACACTGAATTGAATCTTAGTAGATGGAAAATAGCACCGATGAATCGTGACGTAGAAATTGTTTTTCTAACAAACTTACTCATTCTCGAGGTTGATCAATGCCCTTTCTACTCAACCGTGCTGCATCAACCGGTTCAATCGAAACACACGCATACTTTTTATTGCAAATCTTAAAGAGTCGGCTTATTGAACGAATTGATTCCAAATTCCAAAGTTAACTTCTCTTATATCCCCCTTTATGGGATCTATGGTATTTAATCTGTGTTTCTTGTACTGTCATCTCGTCCTGTCACCACTGCTGTCACTTAACTGTCACAAGTAAAAGTTGTAGCTAAGTTGTTCCAGTCTGCGAATCGAACTTTGATTAAAAAAACAAACGACCAGACGGATACGTGTATTATTATATCGATTTAACGGTAATTTATCTTTATTTAAAATTTTGGGTCTTAAGCTAGTAGACCAAATGACAAATTTTAACGAATACATAAAGAAAAGGCGGCTTACATTTTCATAGTCTTTGATGAAATATCCTGATTTCTCTTGCCTACGCGCAATGTAACGATTTAGTGGTATTACGTATGCATTACGAATTATTGTTTCAGAATCAGTTCCAGAATATTACCGTGATATCTATTATCGACATGTAAACTGCTTTACCAAATAATAAGACCTCTTGTCGGGGGTAAAAGGAATTAAGCGATTCATTTTCTAACAATTTGTAAGGTATGTATTTTAAAAATCCTATATTATAATGTTGATAATACATACAACTAGAATGTCATGAAATGCATTTAATTTGGAAAAAGATTTGTGAGCCTTTGCTTTTTATGTTTTCAATAAATACTGTATTATGAAATAATTTTTCATTTTCTTTTCTTTATTTGGTTACATTTTTATGTACTAGATTAAAAAATCGTAATATAAACATGTGTGTTGTGTCATGGGATGGAGTTAGCATAGTAAAGAATACTGTTAAACAAGATGAAGTTGCTAAGCACACAAGTCATATGTTTGTTGCTATTGTAATGCATTTATTATATTAAAGTCCAATAAAACTGTAAAGTAAGCTCTCTTGCTTAGGATTGAAGTTTAATATACAAACAATATCTTCATGTTTAGTTAATTGCAAGATTAGCCCCTAGTAGTCTTGGGTAGTACACATATGATGTACTAAAAAGTAATGTTACTCGGCACTGTACTAAAAGTAACGTTACCGAACGGCTTCTGTTAATCGGACATTTAGTACTTTTAGTACACTACACGATATCGGTGTTCGCCTTTTCGTCAGATTGAAGCATCCACCTTCGATAATGAGAATCAAAAGTGGATAAAATTATTCATAACTAAATTTATTCTCGCTAATAACATATGTTTGACCCTGCTTAAAATTTGATGTGAATTAATATATAACCCTCGTTACATTCTATTCATGTATTGTGTTTTCACAAATCTGAAGTACTAAAGGTACTAAAAGTGTGTACTAGTACGTTTTCCCAATTGTACTAGTACGGTGCGCACTTGCAGATGTCCGATTAAGCCCAAGACTAGCCCCTAGACTGGTAATAAACTGAACCTTAATTATAGTCTTTTTGAATAGGATTTAATAAATTCTATTATTGATTGATATTTGATGTCTAGAACAAAATCTCCTTAATCTATATGCTGAAACAGCTGGTGTTCCCATAAAGTTGGCAAACAATACTGCGGAATATCTTACACATATTGTGATATAAGAATATTGTTTTCTTACTGATAATGTATATTAAATGAATAATAAAATAATAAAAAAAGTACATTGTTATTATAGATATAAGTTTTATTAGGTAGACTAAAATCTTACCATATATGATCAGAAGGTGGTGTGAGTCAAATATTTTTTTAAAAACATTACGTGAATAATGAACAATCTCTTGACTCCAATATACATTTTTTTTTTTCAATCTTATGCTCACTGCTGGCTGTAGTGTGTAATAAGCATAAATATTACAATGACATTTTTAAACATTTTCCTTCTATACTGTCTGTGTGATCCAATATGATTATTGCTGACTACTAGTCTGCTTTAGTTTTTTTTTTCAAAGATCTACAACACTGTATAAAGTTAATATGTCAGAAATTATAACTTTTATAATACATAGGTAGTTGACATTTGCCCTTGGATAACTTACAGAATTTCCCCTATTTAAATAATGTTGGTAGAAACTAGTGAATCCATATGACTGCGTGTACGTAATATGTGCTCGATGTTATTAGTAAGTCATATTATTTAAAACAGAGTGCAAGTCACTGTCAATGCAGATCTCTTTTATAAATCTGGTTAATTCATCCCATAATTATGTTACATACTACGGGAATGAAGGGAATTGAAAGAAATAACTTCAAGTTTCCCCCGAATATAAAGCAAAATATGTTATTACCAAGTTTTGATCGAGACTCTGATCTTGTTCCAAAACGATATGAAGAAATGCGTGAGTGTTATGCATTTACTTTAGCAGCAGTACCATCTTCAAGATTTTTGTAAGTGTTTTGTAAAACTATTAAATTACGTGTTTTTGTTGCGTTAATATTATCGTAAAGCATCAATATTTTATTGGAAGTATCTTCACGATTGAACTATATTAAACTATGCATTAAGTAGACGTATTTGTCATGCATCGTTTTGCCCATAGGAATTAACTACTGTCGAGTTGTGCATTGGTCTAGCCATCCGATCTTCCGGTCAGACAGATCATGGAATTGTTCAATTTTTATTTCGACAGCAAACAAAATCAATCGTTGATTCTGTGATCACTTTATGTATGGAACGTTGATGCATTTTGTCGCCCCCACAACTTCTACGCATGTGTTTTATTTTTCTTATAGATAATAATGTTTTAATCCTTTGATGAGTGAGGTAAGCCTTCTCTGTTTAAAGATTCTTTTTTTTTCTTTCGTCTTCATCGTTCCCCCAACCTAAAGATACGCATTGCAATTATATCTTTGAATACGTGGAACTAAACTTAGGTATTTTAAATCCCCATTTAAGGTAATAAATATATCCACTTCGGTTTTACTCAGCAGAAGTTAAAACTAAAAGTATAATAAAAACTTGCCTTATCTTTTTATGCATTTTGCCTAACTATCAGTAATATTGTGAAAGCGATATCGTCTAAACTATGAACGATCACGTTTGTTGACTGTACTGCTTCATTATGTAAGTATTGTTGGTTGTGCATCGTCAGTCGATGATCTAGGCTAGGTTTTAGGGTAGCGGCAGCTACCATTAAAGACTATAACAATAAAATAAAATAAATAAATAAATATATTCGAATTAGTTTTTTATATCTATTTTATCTTTTGTGACTAATTAAGGAGGGGGTGGGGCAGCTGTCCCTGAAGATGGCGACCTCCATGTTGGTTGATAAACACTTTTGTACCTATTAAAATTGTATTATTAAATCGTAAATCTATGTTTTGGATGACCATGTGATATTATATGTATCTAAACAATACTACGTGTAAACAATATATTGCCAACAGTGTCACCTACATAATGGCCGACAAGGACCAAGTGATTCAAGCTTTGCGCGCGACACTTATATCGGTGAAAGGTGCACTTACTATAAAACAGTGTAATCGTGAGTATCATTGACTTTCATATCGTCAAACGGTGAAGCGAGCGACCGTAATACCCAATGACGCTGAGTTCAAAATAAACAAAAATGCATAAAACTGAAGATACTGTATATCTTGTATATAGTGTACTGTATATCTTGTGTATAGAAAAGAAAAATAGAAAAAAATATTACAAATTTCTTAGTCAAAATATGACAATTTAATCACACTCACTTTTATCTAAAGTTGCTTAGTTTAGACTCTAAAGAACTTCAAATTTAATAAATAATGTTTTTACTTCAAAGATGATTTTTTTAATGAATTTAATTAACAAGCTAAAACTTCCCAAAAAACTTAATGCTTTTGTATGCGTATATTATTATAATGTTCCAGGCGATTACCGGGAGTTGCAAGGTGAATGGATACCTTTTAAGAAATTGGGTTATCCTACACTGGAAAAGCTTTTCCAAGATGTTCCGGGTTTTAAAATTTCCCAAATTAATGGCGAGTGGTATGTCGACGCCATTGCTAGTCAAGAAACTCAACACATCGCTTCAATGGTCGCCCGACAGAAGTCCACAAAGAAGACTAACGTGAAATTAAGTTCGGTAAGAATATGTAACTAAACAATTTGTCAATTTATAAATCGACAAACGACGTATTTATTGCCTTGGGTTCGCTTTTACTTTATTGAAAGCCTTTGGTAAGGAAGGAAATTCGAGCAGCGCACATATTTAACTTGCCGAAACTAAGTTATATATTTCATAAAATTCAGGATTTTTTACATTTTAGAATCGTTTCCCGAAAAAACAAGGATCGTGGAGAAAGCCAGCGTCGACGTCTAGTTATCCATCAAGTTACGACAAAGATTATTCAAAACAGTTTTACAGATACAAAACCAATACGTCATTTAATAGCAACCCGAACCCGAAGGTAAATAGCACATTAGAAATCTATAAATTATAACAATTAAAACAAATGTTGTAATTAAAAACACTAATTTTGTAATAATTATTAGTTCCAGTCAAATAAATATAATAAAGTAATCGAAACGAAAAATCCGCCACCGCAGCAAGTAAAGCAACCCATTAAGGTAGTGGAACAGCAAGAAAAGGTAGCGCCCAATGTACCGAAGAGCTACAGCGCGGCGCCGCGCGACTCTCACACTGATAAAGTAAGCTTTACTGCCACAAACTCCTTAATTCATTGTTACCCCGCGTTTCCACTGACGTTCTTTAAAACTATATTGCCATTCAACATGACAAAATTATTTGTTTTCGTACTAGTTTTTCAGTACGAGAAAAACAAGATTAGGATATTAAAAACTATTTTTTTAGCGAAGTAAGTTAGTCATTAGGTAAATATTTTTCACATGTTCCAGCTAAATCATTCCAAACGCAACGAGAAAGAGAGCGAGCCGCGAGCAGGTAAAATGTCGGCGTCGCAGAGATTGTTCAACTTGCGGGACCGCCTCAGCACCGTCGACCTCATCCCGCTGCAGCTGCCCGCGCACAATAATTATGTGGTAATTGCACATGCACATTTTACAAGCTGTTTTAACACAGTGTTTCTTCAGTACAAATTCACAGTATAGTTGTTGGTAGAGGTTCCAAAGATGTATAGAGTAAGCATAGATGACACTGCACTTGAAACATTTTTACGTAATCTCACAAATAATTCAAAGAAGTTACCGGTGAAATAATTTTGTTTCCCATGCCTAGTCTATACATTTCTTAAATGTTTTTGTAACTCAAATTGATGATCTGCACATAGTCACGCTGCTCGGCTCAGTTTGTACCTGCATAGAGTTATGATATGCGTTTATAGCTACGAACCGCTAATTATCTACAAAGAAAAGAAAGAATTATCTAAGCATAAAGCTACAAACGGGCGTGGTTAAAATAAGCAAACATTCACTACAGGAGCCGCTTAATACGAAGGAGAACATGGACCCTGTGACGCAAGTGGTGCCGGCGCACAACCTGGAGCCGCCGCCGGAGTCCACCTCCTCGCAGGAGAAGCTGGAGTGGACGTGCAGGAAGCTCGGCCTGCCGCAGCCCGTCTACAACTTGTACGACTACAGGCCCAAAAAGGGCCCCGTCACCTACGATTGCACTGTCAAAGTTAGTGTAAAATACTCCCGTTTTATGGTATGGAGGGATAAGTTGAAGTGTGAACAGTGTAAAGGTTGGTATTGTGTAGGTGGGCAGCACGTACAGCGTGTCGTCGTACCCGGACTCGTCGCCGTCGGAGCAGCTGGCGCGCGAGGTGGCGGCGGCGAAGGTGCTGGCGATGGTGGAGGGCTCGGAGGTGCAGGGGCTGCCGACGGCGGGCGCGGCGCGCGCGCTGCAGGCGCTGGCCGACCTGGTGGCGGAGCACGAGGCCGGCCTCTGGGCCAGCATCGTGCCCCACATGTACAGGTGCCACGTTTATTCTCATTGTCCATTTACGAAACGACCAAAGAGTATTTCGTAAAGATTACTATGCTATCTAATGAGTGTTTTTATTTATTTTAGGGAGAAATATAACGAAAATTTACCAAATAACTGGCAAGAGTTGGTGGAGAATTGTCCGCGAATACTAAAAGACAGAGTTGTCAATGGACTCCTAGTTCTGTTGCCTAATAACAAGGTGAGTACACATTTGTTCATTATGAGACTCTTTTTGGTAAAACAGTGTAGAGACTTAGGAATGTGCGCTGCGCAGGAGGCGGGCGCTGCGCGGCCGCCGCAGGCCTGCGCGCCGGCGCCCGAGGAGACCATCGACAGCGACCTGCCGCCGCTGCAGTTCCCGGACCAGGACTTCTGGAACGTCTTCATCACAGTCGCCAACTCCACGCTCGAAGTTTGGCTTCGTATTATTGGAATCGAATATAGTGTAAGTAATAACTCGCTGCATATAATAAATTAGTGTGAGCTTGAGCTTTGAAACTATAATTAATATTTTTCTTAGAATATGTTGGACGCTATGCTGATAGAAATGGCTAAATACTACGAACATTTCGGAACGTCGGTCGACAAGTCGATGATAATAAAGAATGCTTGGTGAGTTTTTGATAATGATTGATAACATGCTTTGTGATATCTCTTTTGAGGAATTTCAACATTTGTATATTTAATAATTGATGAATTAGTAACAAGGCGTGCGTAGGTATGCCGTGAATCTGTCGGACGGGGGCTGGCAGCGCGCCAAGGTGCTGGACTTGGAGAAGGACACCGCGACCGTGTTCCTCGGCGACCACGGGGACGACGACACCGTCAACATAACCAATATCAAGATACTCGAGCCCCAGTTTCGGAAACTGCCCGCGCAGGTCGCCCTTACTATATTTTCCTAAACAACAAATGGATTAATTTTCATTTATTATAAAAGTACAGGGTTGGCAAACCAATGGCACACGATTTCATATTTTGGGCACGTCGATAACCATAAAAACACTAGGAAAAAATATGAAGTAAGTGCACCGCGAAAATTACGTAATTATCGCAGTCAAAATTATTCGATGGCACGTCTGAGACTGCATTAAACATTTGTCTTAAAAAAAGTGGTTCCTTGTATTGATGTGTGGTGTGCGGGCAGGCGATCCTGTGCCGGCTGGAGGGCGCGGAGGAGCT